CATTTGCATGCAAAATTCAAGAAGTCATTGTTTTTTACTGCTGAGTAGTACTCTAATATGTATATATTTCATACTTTCTTCATCCATTCTTCCATTGAAGGTCATCTAGGTTGTTTCCAGGTTCTGGCTATTACAAACAATGCTGCTATGAACATAGTTGAGCATATACTTTTGTTGTATAATAGGGCATCTCTTGGGTATATTCCCAAGAGTGGTATTGTTGGGTCCAGGGGGTAGGTTGATCCCAAATTTCCTGAGAAACTGCCACAAGAGATAGAAGAAAGAATCTCAGATTCTGAGGACACCATAAAGCCAAAAGCTATTTTTAAAGCTTTGTTTAAGCTATGATGCACTGTGAAACCTGTGAACGCATCTCCCAACATTAAGAGTTTAAACTAGCTGGGCTACTCTGACTCAGTTGTTTTTCTTAACCTAAGCCACAGTCTATACAATTCCTCAATAGAAACTCACATGTTCTAGCTATGTGACACTTCCTCTATTTACTTTTTATCCTCTGCAGCCTGTTGTTATCAGAGACAGGGACAACATTTTATCCTACCTTTACCAATATTAATTTATCCACTAAACAGAGTTCTATTATAATCTCTTACTATATTTATTAAAGACCCTCTATCATCAAAGTCCTATTTAAACTAACACTATTATTATATAAAATCATTGTTTCAGTTAAGCAAGATAGCTCAGGAGCAACTCATCTTCATAATAATCCATTGGTAAAAATGCCCAGTAGAACAGGATATTGCCAAGAAATGATCATACTGTATTAAGGGCAGTGGGAATCTCCCATGTGTATTCACACCATGTCAGATACCAAAGGAAGATAGCAGTGGCAAACATGTGAAGGCACAGCAGAAGCAAAAGATTCTTGAGTCTTTGGTCTCTGGGCCTTGTCTATTCCAGATTTAGCCATCAGGGTTTTGTTTCCTGGTGGGATGATCCCCTGAAGTTAATTTTTTTCTGTTGTTCTCTGTCATGGCCACTAGGAGAAGGCAAGGTGAACTGGCATTAAGTGGACTTTAAACAGGATAAATGAAAATGATAAATCCTTAATAACTTGAAAATATCCTGTACTTACCACTGATTCTTTAAGAAAAATATTGCTTTGATGAAGGTTGTTGTTATTAATTGGAGAAATTATTTATTTATGTATTTTAAAAAAACAGAGTCTTAACTATGTAGCTTTGGTTAGTCTCAAACTCACTATGTACACATAGATGATTTCAGACTCATAAAAATCAGCTTGCCTCTGTCTCCTGAGTGTTATGAGTAAAAACATAAGCCACCATACTCAAGAAAAATATTTTATTTTTAGAATGTTTTTACTCATAGAATTTCTAGATTTTGCTATTCTGATAATATTCAGTAATTCTGATGTTTGTTAGAAGAATGAGTAGCTGTTGAAATGCAAACAAAGAGAACACACAGCTACAGAGCCATGACTTAACCAGGGTCCTATCCCGGGATCAGTGGCTTCATTCCTCAATGAGTACTCCAGAAGGAGTACTGAAATGGATCCTTATGAGAGACTCATTGTTTTATGATTTACAGTAAGTAAATTGGAAGTGTACAACATTCCTGCCAGCAGTGTGATAGAGTGCAACAGAGAACTAAATACAACAGATAAGAGAGGAATAAGCATGCAGCCCATGTAGGGAAGCATAATACATGTAATGTGTTAAAGAAGGGTACTGTGTTCACCTTCTTATTTAGCTTCTCTAGAACCATGAATTATATGCTCAATGTCCTGTATTTATGGCTAGAATCCACTTATGACTGAGTACATACCATATTCATCTTTATGGGTCTGGGTTACCTCACTCAGGATAGTGTTTTCTATTTCCATCCATTTGCATGCAAAATTCAAGATGTCATTTTTTTTTTATCGCTAAGTAGAACTCTAAAGTGTATATGTGCCATACCTTCTTTATACATTCTTCTACTGAGGGGCACCTAGGTTGTTTCCAGGTTCTGGCTACTACAAATAGTGCTGTTATGAACATAGTTGAACAAATGCTTTTGTCATATAATAGGGCATCTCTTGGGTATATTCCCAAGAGTGGTAATGCTGGGTCCGGGGGTAGGTTGACTTCCAGTTTCCTGAGAAACTGCCACACTGATTTCCAAAGTGGTTGTACAAGTGTGCATTCCCACCAACAATGGGTAAGTGTTCCCCTTACTCCACATGCTCTCCAGCATATGCTATCATTGGTGTTTTTTATTTTAGCTATTCTGACAGGTGTAAAATGGTATCTCAGAAAGAATAACATATGGTTATCCTCCTGGATATTGTAAGTGAACAAGATTGTGGGACAGTGGTTGGGGGTGGGGTGGGGATAAGGGGAGATGGGGAGAGAGAAGGGAGAAGGGGAGGATGGGGAGAGCTTGAGAGAATGGGATGGTTGGAATGGAGGAGGGGTGGATGAGGGAGCAGGGAAGTAGATATCTTAGTTAAGGGAGCCATTTTAAAGTT